CAATGTAACATGGAATTATCAATTTTCTTGAACTTTGCTCAAGTGAGATTAGTCTGCAGATCAGCCAATTTAGCAAGGAAAATGGACTGTAGATTCTTGGTTTTTATTTTCTCAGCAATTTTTCCGATTCCGGTGACCCGATGACCTCGGTGTTTTGAAAATAAGCAGACTTGTTTTCAAATCCTAATTTTTGCCTTACGATCACCGCAGCTTAAAGTTGCGACTTTGTTTGTGAATTTTTAAGCATATTCGAACGTGGATTACTCAAACCTAAAAAGCCCTCCTTTTTCTTATGTACATTCCTTTATTTTTATTTTTTATTTTTTTTGGGTTAGTTTACTATATTTTGCTCTTTTCAGAATTGCTATTATCTTGGTTTGCCTGTTTTTACCAATGTCGACTGATAGAGTCATTGCCCGTTTCTGATCAGATTCACCTCTTTATTGTTCTGACGAATCTTGGTTGTGAAAGGTGGATATATTGAAAACTGATGAACTGAAAATATTAGCTTCCTGAATCTTGTCTAGTTTTGGATAAAAAGCTGCTTAGATATGTTTTATGACATTACTTTTGGCGGTTTTGCTGTGAAGCCAACCGTTGGCTCCATAATGGAGCAAACCTTCTATATACAACAAGTAAATCATACCATTTTAATAAAATTATTAATGTTATTTAAGTAATCCAATAATATGGTATGATTTACTTGTTGTATATATAGAAAGTTGGTTCCACTATGGAGCGGTTGACTTCATAGCAAAACCATTACTTTTGGTCATGTAAGTGGTAATAGAAATATGTCTGTACAGATATATTCATAATCGGGATTTGTGTTCGTGTTTGGTTTATTTTGGAAGCTTAGCTAATATATCTAAGTTTAGTAAAAGAATAGTGGATTTTCATCAAAGAATAGTGGATTTTCATCTGTTGAACTAAGTACTATTTCTTTTTATTTTCTTCTTATTCTTTCTCTATTTTTAGGTGTGTGTGTGTGTGTGTGATGGTAATGTAACCACTAGAATTGTTGTGTTAGATCAATAAACTAAGGTAGAAATAAAAAGACTATGAAAGTTATATATAATTAACATTTGCACCAACAGTCGATAGAGACACAAATTTAGAGTTCATAAAAGGTATTCAAGACGGGCAGTTAGGAAGCTGCAAGCAGAAAAATACAACAAGCTTCTATCAATAAATATATATATGTAAATCATTAAGGCATTTGATATGAGTTAGGTCTAGGGTTGCAAACGAGCTCAAGCTCGACGAGCCATGTAAAATACTGCTCGACTCGACTTGTGAAAAAAATAAGAATGGTCCAGCTCGAATCGATGCTCGATATGTCACGAGTTCGACTCGAAATTTTATCAACTAAATTTCAAATATGAAAGGTACTATTTTAATTTAAATTGACAAATTTGGCCTTGGTGTTCTAAGATTGATGACTAAATATAGGATATATAATGTAAATAAATTGAGCGGCTCGTCGAGCTTACGAGCCTCTTGAAATGATGCTTGAGGCTTGACTCGTTTGCTCGATTGAACTGCTGGAGCTCGAGTTTGACTGAGCTCGAGTCGAGAATTGACTCGAGCGCTCAAGCCGCTCGACTCTTTTGCAGCCTAGTTAGGTCAATCCTTGATATTTGGTTGCTACATATATATGAAATGTTGTTTACGTCTAAATGAATGGATGAACCTCATTCGCACGTTTGATTGACATGTTTCGCTCTTTCTTTGTATAGTTCGTCAAATTACTCTCTAATGAAATACTAGTGAAGTTTGTTGGACATAAAATTTTATATTTGAAAAAGTGAATTCGAATTCGAATAATATAGGGTCGTATTTTCGTGATTACTCAAAATGACCTGAAAAGTGAAAACATTGGAGTTTTAAGTATATCTAATATTAACTATCGCATTCTCACTCAAAACAGTCCAATGGATTTGTTTTATTGATGATGAAAGATAATACAACTAAAACATGAATCCAAAGTCTTTGATTTTTTTTTCTTTTGCCTGAAAATGACTTATCTTCTTTCTTTCTTTCCCCTTTTTCTTAACATTTTTGTTTCATATATATATATATAATTATATATAATTATATGCAGCTCATTGTGATACCACGGTGGCAAAAATGCTCGTGGGGAACAAATGTGATTTGGAAAACATTAGAGAAGTGAATGTAGACGATGGAAAAGCTTTTGCCGAGCAAGAGGGGTTGTTTTTCATAGAGACTTCGGCCCTCGATTCTACTAATGTGAAGGAGGCCTTTGAGATTGTGATTCGAGAGATTTATGACAAAGTCAGCCGCAAAATATTGAACTCGGACTCGTACAAAGCCGAGCTTTCGTCAAATCGGGTGGATGTCAATTTGTCGAAGGCGGATAATAGCAAATTCTCTTGCTGTTCAAGTTGATCACTAAAAAAAAAGAACTTCTTGAGCTTTTCTTGATTTATAGCATATATTATTTATATTGTTTTGTGTTCACAGAAGGCAAAGAGGTAATAATTAATATTTTCTGGAGTTGTGACGTTATTATAAGTTTTTTTTTTCTTAAGAAATTATTTTTCTGCGGAATTTAATTGTTGGATTCAGATCAGTAATTATCATTTGATGGTTATTGTCTCTATTTTGCTCCTTAATTCAATATTCAGGGTTAAAACTAGGGAGATGTTACAGTCCCGGAATCATTCCGTCGGGGTTTCTAACTGTTAGATCTATTATCCCGACGGCTACATGATGATTTAACGGTCTCGACGAAATGGTTCCGTAACGAAATCGTTTCATTTCCAAAATACTCGATCCATTGTGAATGTATAGATTTCTTATATATAAATCGATTTTTTTTTATTTTTTTTTCGAGAAGTGTTAAATGTTGCTTCAATGTATGGATTTATGCTTTGTAGACTTGTAGTTCTATACGTCAATTTTTTTTTTTTTTTTTTTTTTTTTT